CGAGATCGCGCCATTGCACTCCAGCCTGGGTAACAAGAGCGCACCTCCGCCTCAAAAAAAAAAAAAAAAAAAGAAATGGCTTCTGATTCCTCTAATGGAGGAATGTCAGGTGGATCTGGCCACTCTTTGATAAAATACGGAGGAGGGTCTGACGGACTCCTTCTTCCTCATTTATTTTTTCTTTTTTCTTAGCTGGGTTATCTTTAATTTTCTCATCCCTATTTGCTCAGCTATTTCTTTATGAAGCAATGAAAGACAAAGCAACAGAAGAACGGAGTAAGAAAGCACAGATAGATTGAAAACAACTGATAGAGAACTTGAACTTTTCCTGTTCTTAAGAGGTGCTTTACTAAATGTGAGTAAGTAGCACATCTGCTTTTTCCCTAGCCTGAGCAATTGCTCTCAAAAGAGAAGTATTATTTTCACCAATATATGTTATTTGCTGATTTTGGGAGCTAACCACAGTCGTGGCCAGACCAGAATGGAAAGGAAATTGGACTGTTGAAAGGAAAATTTGAGAGCCTTATAGCGAGGCCTGCACACGGCTTCCTGCAAATCAGGTTGACCGGTGGAGGGCAGAGCAGGCTTCTGAGGAGCCTGATGCACGGAAGGCAGAGATAAGACAGTCTGAGCCTGATTAGCAGGCTGAGCCCTACAGGAGGGCAAAGTCTTAGCCTCATTACTGGGCTGATGCCCACAGCCAGGCAGAGAAGGTTCTGACCATGACGGTTGTTGCATGGGAGGCTCAACAGAGCTTTGCCAATTAAGAGTGTGTAACTCACGTGTAAGATCCTCATAGTCATCAAAAGGTGGTGCTAAAAGTTTAGGAGTAGACGCAGATCCAAAAGAGCTGGGTCTGCTTCCATATCAGCAATGGCTTCCTCTATCTTGGCAGTGTTCTCAGTAGAAAGTACTTCAAGAACGTCTTCAACCTCCTCTAAAGAGAGCAAGGAGGAGTTGACCTCCAAGGACTATTCTTGTGTCTGCAAAGACTGAAGGACAGTTTTAACAGAAGACCAAATAGACCAGATTGTAACAGGAAAAACATGCCCTTCCTTTTGAGCCGCTTTAAGGTAGCTGCTGACCTTGTCCCAATCCTTAAGTTCTAAGGTTCCATCAATGGGGAACCAAGGACAGAACTGATCTATCACCTCAAATAACTGAAAGAGTTTATCAGAAGAAACATTAACCCCTCTTTTTTAAATAAGAATTTTAATAAAATTAAGAAAGGCTGAATACTTTGTATTCCGTTGTCCCATGGTTACCCCGAATTCCTCTGAGTTGCCTAAGCTTACCACAAGCTTATCAGTCGCAGTCCTCAGGAATTTCTCGTCAATAAATCCTCCACTTCCACGCTCAAGGCATACCTTCACACCTCAAGGGAGAAGCCCACGTTGGAAAACACCCACGTTGGCATGCCAGATATAGGGTCCAGCCCTATAGGGTTCTGTGAGCCCCTCCCTGTTGGTGTGGAGATGAGAAACTGTAGAAATAAAAGACATGGACACAGAGGTAGAGAAAAGAGAATTGGGGCTTGCGGGTCTGCTGCCAACCGCGTGGAGACCTGCAGTGGCCCCGAGTGCCTGGACACTCTGACTTTTATTGAATACAAAGCAGTGGGCAGGGAAGATAGGGTGAGGTAATGGTGGTCGGTGATAGGGTCAGGTAAATCACGTGTCTTGAAGATAGGGGGCCCAAGACTTTCAAGTAGCCGAGGTGAGGAGAAAACCTGACGCATCATCGCTCTTTGCATATTTGTCAGAAATATCAAGGACACTAAGATTATATTACTATTATTAATTCTTGAGAAAAAGAGAAACCAGGTGCAGAAGCAGGGCGTGAAAGTAGACATGGAATGTGACCACTGAAGCACAGCATCACATAGAGACAGTTAAGCCCCTGGATGTCTGCCGGCTTCCCTGACAGCTGTCAGGCCTTGCCACAAGAGCTTGGAGAAGCGGAGTTTTCTCCTCACTCCCCCAAAGAAGGAGATGTCTCCGTCACTTTAGACATCTCCTTCCCTAGTTGACTAAACAGCTGGTGCTTTCACAGAGCTGGCGCTGCTGCACAGCGGAGGCACCCTCCAGCAGCCCTTATGAGGGCGTGGCAGAGGGCTTAGAGCATCTTGCCTTAGGATCACTTTGTTCACAATGTCACCTCAGTTCCATGCTTCATAACCCAATCGATAGTCATTAGTAAAATTAAAGGTTATATCGAGTATATATCTTTATGATTATAGGTAACTGTAAGATTATATATGATTATATAAAGGAATAACTATGTGCCTACATTTCTAATTCTTTTCTAAATCAATTTTTTTTCCCATTTATTTTATTGCATTTTAAGTTTTGGGGTACATATGAAGAACATGCAAGATTGTTACATAGGTACACACGTGGCAGTGTGATTTACTGCCTTCCTCCCCGTCACCTACATCTGGCATCTCTCCCCTTGCTATCTCTAAATAGTTCTACTATAAGGACACGTGCACATAAATCAATGTTTATATGGGAACAGGCTGAGGCTTCAGACCCTTGCCACAGCACTTATGGGGTTTCCCTCCTACACTCAATGTCAAAAGTTTGTGAATTTTCTTCAGAACACTGCGTATAAAGATGCTTATACACAGCTTCCTTGATCCCTGAGAGAAATAAATGTGGGAGCTGAACAAGAATGCAAAGTAATCATATTTTGTCATATTTGATGATCAATTGAAATAGCAGTTATTATGAACAACTCCGGGATGGAGGTGTTCCATTTTGAACAACTCCCGGATGGTCTCCATTAGTGCTCAGTGACACGCAGGCACAGACACACAGGTGGAGGCCTACACTGATTCATAATTTGCAGTTTGTGAAAATGACTATCAAACTAAATAGTCATTCTGGTCTGTGTTGGATAAAAGGCAGCTCCAAATAATGTATCACTTTCTCCATCAAGAGGTGGAATTTATTTCTCTTCCATTGAATCTGAGCTTGTTCCATTAATGTATAACTAATAGATGCAGTGGAAATTACCTTTTATTTGTTGCAGCTATAGGCCTTAGAAAGATGAGAAGTTTCTATCCTGTTTCCTGGCATGCTCTCTATTGTTCCTGAAAACAGTTTTTCTTGGAAACCAGCTAACATGCTCATAAAAGCCTAAGCTACATGGAGAAGCATATGTCAAGCTTAGTTAAACTCAACGCTGACAGCAAGCATCAGGTGCAAGCTTTGGGAATGAACTGTATTCAAAATGTATCCTCCATCCCAGTGAAGGTGTCCAGTTGGTACTTTGTGGAGAATAGACAAGATATCTCTGCTGAGCTCTGCACAAATTACAGAGCTATGACCAAATACATAATTGTTGTTTTGGGTCACTTAGTTTTGGAGTGGTTTGCTATCCAGCTATTTTTGAATATGGTTCCTGGTCAAGAAACCTAATTTTCTTCGCAGTTAAAGTCCCCAAAGTCATTTTCTGAATTACTCTGACCTTTGGCTTTAAGAAATGAACTTCTTCTCTATCAAAATAAACATCATTTTCACTAGTTCCTCTCAAGAGCTTTATCAAGTATATTTATTCATGGCATTATAAAAATAAAAGTTCATTGCCTTGTTTACAATCTAAGACAAACATTGGCATTGAAGCGTGTGTTGGACACAAAGAAAACAAACAAAGACGTGAATGAGTCACCAAAAAACCTTATTTCTCTATGATGTTAAAAAGATCTCTGTGGACTATTGTAGGAAAATATTTAAAAGGATTGAGAAAATATAAAATTTGGAGAAATTATAAATTCAGGATTAAAGATGACAATGCGTGCGTATTTGTGTATGTGTGATTTTTGTGACTCTGCATACGTTATCTCAATGTTTGCTAAGTGTTCATTCATTTATTTATTCACAGTTATTTGTGTTCATACTATGGGCTTCTCAGTGTGCCTGCAAATAGTATGAATCGGTAAATAAGGCAGACAATCACTAGTCTCCTGAGATTCACATTCTAACATCAAATAATTGTTTAAGGCCTTACAAACACAGGTTATATATGCAAAAACAACATTTGGGACTCTAGGGTGGCAAGGCAATTTACATATGTAAAATGATTAATAAAGACAGAAAGATTGATATTTAAGAGAAGTTCAAAAGTGTATTTTGGCTGGAAATGGTCAGGAAAGACTTCATAGTGAAAATGCAGTCTTACTTAGATAAAAGATTGAGGAAAATAGTAAGATCTTCACTAATTACTTTTAAATTATAAAAAAAGACAATCTTTAGAGAATGGGTATGATTAGCTGAGTCTAAGAACTGGGAGTAAAGTATATATGCAGAAAAGGCTTAAAAAGCAATAGCCAGAGCTAAGAATGTTCCCATGAGAAGATAAATGTATTTTTTTTGTAACATGGGTCACTAAAATAAACAACGGAGATATGGTCGTCTAGAGTTCTTTTAAAAAATGACCTTTGTAATAATGTAACTGAATAGTATGACTCCAGAAAAATAGCTTCTGTAGTATGAATTTATATCCATCCAAAAATGCAGTTAGTATACATATTTTAAAATTATTAAGCCTATGCAAGGTGTTTATGAATTTGATCAAATATTGCATCTTCAATAAAATTGAAGAAATAATTCAGCTCTTCTCTTAATAGGAATTTTTTGCTGCGAATATAAAGAAAAGTAGGAGAATACTTTTTTTTAAGACAAGTTTTATATAGGTACTTTTCTCATATTATTTTATTGGCATATTTTTAAAAGCAGGAAGCAGATGCTCCCAGTCTTCCTTTAAGGCTTAAATTATTGGATGTACAATCTTAGAATCAGAGACCTGAAGTAATTTTCACAAACTCACGGGGGCATAAGGGCACTTAGGGTACTGAGTGTCAAAAGTCATTCACTCTATGAGCTCTATCTGACTATAAAATACAAGACCCCTCTAGTATATTGTACTCTCTCCCACTGAAACAGTCAATATCTATTTAGTCACCACTTCGATATTCATTCCCTTTCTCGTTCCTTTGATCAGCTTCTTTTTGGACCAAGCTTCCCCACAACCTTTTCTCGGATTTGACGGGTCTTCACGCAGTACACGATGGGATTCATCAGGGGTGGCACCAGCAGGAAAATATCAGCCATGAAGACGTGGATCATAGGAGGCACATCCCTGGCAAACCGGTGGAGCATTGCAGCACTCAGCATGGGCACATAGAAGATAAGCACAGCACAGATGTGAGAGATGCACGTGTTGAGGGCCTTGAACTGTTCTCTAGGGGTAGCAATTCCCAGTACAGTTTTTAAAATCATAATGTAGGAGAAGATAATAAACACCAAGTCCAGCATAGTAGAAAGTGCTGCACAGAGTCCATAGACAACATTGACTGTGTTATCAGAACATGCCAGCTTCATGACATCCTGGTGGAGACAATAGGAGTGGGAGAGCAGGTTTTGATGACAGTATTTCAGCCATTGCAAGAGAAAGGGCAGTGGAAGGATCAAAAGAATATTCTTAGATGTCAGAAAAACCCCTGTTTTGATGACTCTGGAACTAGTTAAGATAGTGCTGTATCTCAAAGGGTTGCGGATTGCCACGTACCGGTCAAATGCCATTACAGACAGTACAGAGGCTTCACTGACTGTGAACAGATGGATGAAAAATTCCTGGGCAAAGCATGCAGCTGCATGAATTTCATGGACATCAAATAGAAATAGTCCCAAAGTTGTGGGTAAGGAAGAGAGAGACAGCCCTAGGTCAGAGATGGAGAGCATGGAAAGGAAATAGTACATAGGTTCATGGAGGCTTTGCTCTGTCTTGATTAATAAAAGGATGGTAAAATTACCCATCAAAGAAAGAAGGTACACAGATGAGAAAGGAATGGATATCCAGATGTGACTCTTCTCCAGTCCGGGGATCCCAAGAAGGAGGAATCTAAGGACTTCCATTTCTGTGTCGTTAAGAGGAGGCATGACACATAGGAATACATTTACTAGGTGCTTCTCTCAGTGACATTGGAAATATCTTTTTTTTCTTTTTTATTGCATTTTAGGTTTTGGGGTACATGTGAAGAACATGCAAGATTGTTGCATAGGTACACACAAGGCAGTGTGATTTGCTGCCTTCCTCCCCATCACCTAATATCTGGCATTTCTCCCCATGCCATCCCCCCACAACTCCCCAACCCCCACTGTCCTTCCCCTATTTCCCTCCAACAGACCAGTGAGCAGTGCTCCCCTCCCTGTGTCCATGTGTTCCTATTGTTCAACACCCGCCTATGAGTGAGAACATGCGGTGTTTGATTTGCTGCTCCTGTGTCAGTTGGCTGAGAATGATGGCTTCCAGATATTCGTTTCTGTTACATTATAGATACTAAGAGTAGATACTTCTTAATGTCAAACATCTATGTTCCTACTGTCAGTTCAGACTGAAAAAAAAAAAAAAGAGAGAAAGCCAAACATTAAAGCACATGGGAAGAATACAAGTTGCTTCCTCATCCAGGACGTTGTTGGAACTTGTTAAATTATCAAACAACTTAGGCTTTGCACATAACAATTCTAGACAATCCATTGACTACATGAAAATACTCATGTCTCAGTCTCATAAAACCAGTTATCTTATTTCAATTTTATGAAAACTTCTTGAGCAAAGAAAGCAAAATTCTGAAGGGAACAGCACAATTTACTGTGAATTAGGAGGAAAATACATAAATTATTCCAAACCTATATTCCTACCAACATATATGTATAGGATGAATATTTGAAATAATGGCAGAACTGGAAGTTCCTAATTATATGATCTTAGGATTAAAAAAAAAAAAAAAACCTTTAGAAAATATGGTCTTACCCTCCTTCCTATAGAGAAGGTAGTCTAAATCATGCTGAATGGGTAGTCATCAGCCAACACATCCTACCTTCTTCTCAGTATTCCTATATTAACTAATATCTACAGCCTTCTGCTTCATGGTTGAATACTCAAATTCATTTTCTTCTTTGAATTGAGTTGATATATGCTTTTTAAATTTTTTAATCTTATTTTCTCTTCAGGTATGTAATCTAGTCCCATTTACACAAAATAACTTCCTTATTTTTCTGATTATTATTTGATGTCTATGTTTTCCCTCAACTAGAATATAAGGGTAGAGAATTACCTTACACTTTTCACTATTGCATTTCTAGCACCAAACATAGTACGTGAAAATTAGTTGTAGCTTCATAATTATTTACTGAATGGAGCATCATTTATCAAAGTTAAAGATGGTAATATAATTTTCCCCATTCTTTAGGCTAAACTTCACTTATTTCGTCAAATAAAATGTGTCTGATTTTTACCTCTTGGTTTGTCTTATTTTAGAGCAATCATTCAGTGCTCCTCAGACAGCAAAATGTATTATTCCTTAGTAACATCTCAGAATACAGTTCTTTGGCTGTTTTCCCAAGAGGGTGGCTATCTTTTCCAAAGTTGTTTTCTATATGGGTTGTATTTTCCATTTTCATAATCATCTAGGAATTATTAACTATTTAAACACAAAATCTCCCTCATTTTTAATTACCTGTCAATGTTGGATTCAGACTTTTCTAAAGACATTGACAGTATGGGAGAGCTTTGGCTTCAAGGAAGGTACAATTTCTTAGTGCTTATGGATGGTGTCTATTGGCTTCTTTGTTGAGAGACTTTTCCCTTCTTCACAACCTCTCAATGTGCTCAGAGTTTTATCCCAGGACTTGTTTCCTTGGGTATCTATAGCTTATTAAAAATAAATATTTGGAACTTAAGAGAAAGACCAAATCCCACATAATATACATTACTTATGTGTTTACAGTTTACACATCCTCTGAATCTTCTTATCTAAGCCACATCACTTGCTTTCTTTACTGTACTAGGTATAACTAAAGTAATCGTATGTCAACAGACCGCGGCCATGTGTGCTCTGGCATTTGCCTCACCATTTCTTAAATATTGCATTACTTTTTAGAGGCAGTCACTATGGAAATATAATTCAAATGTGCAGAACAAACACCCACAAACTTAATTATTGTATGATATATTATTATGTTTTAACTTGTAGATAGTAATATGCCATTTTGGTTAATGATTTATATAGGTTTTCTCACTTAGGTTATTATTTTATCCATTTTATACATTTAAAAAAATCTTAGAGAGGTGCAATGACTTAAAGGAAAATCATGTTATAATATAGATACACATTCTTCTCGCACATATACATATTGGGCATGGCTGGATTAATATTCCTAATACTTCCACAGACACCCACTCCTACTGGGTACACTCTATCTCTCCTTGAAAATTCTGCAATATTCTTAATCTCCATGAAATCTATTTTCCTCTTGTTAATTTGACACTTAATCCACCCTTTCATAATCCAAACAGAAGATGTAATGCAAATTATGTCAGATATTTTGAAAAAGTAGAATTTTATCTTACCATTTTAAAATCAATCTGATACTTCCCTATAAAGTCAATGATAAGAAAGTGATCGGAAGTAGGAAAAAATCCTTTAAGCTCCTCTTTTATGCTTGCAGGCACTGTTTTATGAAGCCCTAAGAGCCGCTTGGGATGCCTAAGCCTGGGACTGTTTGAAGAATAACACGATACTCTATGGAAAATCTTCTAAAGGTTGACTCAAGGGACGCAAATTTAGGGCCAAACTTATAATGCAGGCTCAGGCAAAGAAAACTGCATGCGATCAGAAGTTGGGGGTCAGAGAGGGGAGCATCACACACTGGGGTCTGTTGGGGGCTCTAGGGGAGAGACAGAGGGGGGTGTGGAGGTTGGGGAGGGATAAGATGGGGAGAAATGCCAGGTATAGGTGACAGGGGGCTGGAGGCAGCAAACCAGCTTGCCACCTAAGCATCTATGCAACAACCCCGCATGATCTGCACATGTACCCCAGAACCTAAAGTACAATAAAAAAAATTGAAAAAAAAAATGAAGTTGGGGGTCATATTCAAACCCAGCACCTTTATCAGCTCTTGACCTTGGCTCATTTTCCCTTAGCTGTAATCAGCTAGTATAACCTGAGGCAGATCAGCTAGTTGTTTTAGAGTCCCAAGTTCTAAAGGAGATCAGATAATTAATATTGCATACTAATTTCCCTCCAACTGGAAATTATACTCCCCTGTCTATATGCTTATTGACCATTTACATCTCCTCCTTTTGAAGCATCTGTTCAAGGCTTTTATTCATTTTCTGTTGGATTATATGCCTTTTGCACGTTGATTTGAATGAAAAATGACGTTTTATATATGTAGGATATGTCATTTGTTAGCTAAGCAGAGCATATTTATTCTCTCACTATATCACTGCCTATTTAGTCCCTTAGTCAATCCTGTTTAGATTGACTGATACCAATTGATGGAATCAGTCATGATAGTTTATTTAGATTTACACTATCTTTAATTGTTAGGCAGAAGATTCTCTTTGTAACAAGTTTGAGCAAACCATGGGCCAGCAACCACATGTAGACAGCTTGTCTTTTCAGTGTAAATCATATCCACTTTATTTAATATAAGGCACTTAAGATCTAATTAGTCATGTGAAAATTAAAAAGAGACAAATTCACTATGGATTTTCACTTTTTACCTGTAATCCTTATAAGTCTTTCTACCTCTGTTAATACAGAAACACATACAAGTTCTTATACACTTGATGATAATGAATTGCTTTAGTACAGTGTTTCTCAAACTTTAATGTGCCAAAAAATTATCCAAAGAGTTTGTTAAAATACTTATTTTGATTCGGTAGATTTTGAATGGTTTGTAAATTACTCTATTTTTTATAAGTTCCAAGGTGATGCTTGCACTGGTCCTCTAAGACCACCATGCTTGAGGCATGCTGCTTGACTACCATGCTACATGTTCTGTTAGGTGGAAACAAATCTGTCCATCATGTTTGATTTGCTTGGGAGGTTATTCAGTTTTTATTAAAAGGAAAAAAAAAGATAGAAATAAATAAACAAGCAAACTGTTTGCTGCAAGTTCGTTTTTGTAACTTAAAAGTAAAACCTGTGGGAGGCGATACCTCACGCCTGTAATCCCAGCATTTTGAGAGGCCGAAGTGGGGAGATTAGGAAATCAAGACCATCCTGGCTAACACAGTGAAACCCCATCTCTACTAAAAATACAAAAAAGTAGCTGGGCAGGGTGGCATGTGCCTGTAGTCCCAGCTACTCAGGAGGCTGTGGTCAGAGAATCCTTTGTACTCAAGAGGCAGAGGTTGCAGTGAGCCAAGATGATGCCACTGCACTCCAGCCTGGGCAACAGAACGAGACTCCATCTCAAAAAAAAAAAAAAAAAAAAAAAAAAAAGTAAAACCTTACTCAGATTGCTGCCAAGAAGAACACAGCTGATAAAAATTGCCTTTTCTAGATTAAGTTGACTAAGAACTGCTTTTGTTGTGTTAAAATGACAATGTTGTGAGTCTTACATTTTTAAAAAAGGTTTTTATTTCTTTTATCAATTATACTACATTTGTTTGTTTGTTTATTACTTATTTATTTATATCCTGGATTATCTTCAGGAGTTCTTGGGTATCTATTTATCTTCTATTCCTGCTACTTTCTCTCCTCTCTTAGTGGGCCAGCTAGATTTGAATAAAAATTATAGGAAAGTGGTGATGTAGGATATCCTTGTTTGTCTTGAAATTTGAGAGAATGTTTTAGTATTTTATCATTGATTTTTAGACTTACTGCTTTTTATTGAGAAAAGGGTTTAAGTTTCACTTTCTAGAATTAAAGTAGTTATCTTCTATTCCTTGGTTTCTAAAACTCTTTTAAAATTATGATTGGCTATTATATTGTAGTGAACTATTTTTGATTTTGTTGCAATAAAATATTTTCTAACATGCTCTTGTTGTATTTAAATGTATTTTTAAGTTATGATTATTTTAAGAATGTTAATGATGTCACAAAAACCAAAAGGATAAATTTTTTTGGCTTATTTACTTCAAAAAC